AGTGATAATTCTCTTCGATGTTCAGCCATTCCAAGTGTTATGAAGGCGACGAGATAGCTATCATTCCTATGCTGATGAATGTTAATCCAAACTCGCAACTATTATATTACTTAAGCCACAACATACTTATTGAGCAATATATGATTAGAGTAAGCTAGCTGCAGCACTATGACTGACTTTGAGCTAACGATGGTATGCGAAGAGTTGGGTTCGGATTCAAAGAAGTCGGGCGGCCATCGACGAAATGTTGCTCACAAACGATGAAATTCACCAGTGATCGGAATGCCCGTTTTTCTGCAACCGATCAAACAATCACTTATCAATGATATTTCACCAAAAACTGATACCCATAGCTTATTCCATCAAATGTTTGCTTCAGAAGTCCACAAATGTGCAATTCCAGCATTTTACGACTGTTTGCTTGAAGCAAACTCGCGTCTCTGAGATATTTGGTATAGAGCATATCGTCTCTCTCTCTCTCCTATGTAAATAAAAAAATGAATAACCGAACAAATAAGTGAACTGATCACAAACTAGCACTATTAAAAACGCATTTGACACGTCTCATCCAGTACTGTCGATAGGACTGCTCACGTTTACAAGCGTATATCCATGCGGTTGCTGCCTCATAGGACGGCGGTAACCCAAAGAATCGCATAGTTCTGTTACACTCTTCCGCTATATTATCACCCACATGCGCCCTACACCCTGACACCGCACACGGCGTAACCTTCAACAAATTGCTATTCAAACAGAAAGTATTCATTCGGGTGAAAAAGCAGCAAATTCAACGCAAAAACGAAGTGTCAAAAGTAAAATCAAAATGAAATTCAACTGACCGTGCGATCATAATTGTGTTGAGCATTCTTTTCGTTGACCGTCCTCTTGTGCTTCTTTGATGCTCCTGTCTCGATTGAATGATGTGAATCACCCAGATCCACACGTCCTCTTTTACGTCCTCTTTTCTTCGATCGCACTTTCGAAACTGTTTCATCCTAACGAATTCAACAGGAAATTTACAACACAAT